GGATTATGGCTATTTTTTTCTTCACAACTTTATTCCTACTTTGAATTTTTCACAGTATGAATTAGTTATTTTTATTTATGTTCATCAAAATGATATGTGCACCTAGGTTAAAAATCAAATTATGCTGAAAAGCTTAGGTAAGGTAAGAAACGCTGCAGTCCTCTCCTACCCATCCCAAAGGCACCTACTTTCAAATCTTTTAATTGTTTTTCTGATGTTTTTAAGTAACGTGCTGATACTTCTCTTTCTTGATTCACCAATTATTAGACATTTTCAGTTGAGTTCTTATGATATGTGGGGATTTCCCTCTCTTTTAGTCTCCTTCCTGTCTTTCCATTCTGTTATTACAATTAAGTCACAATTTTGGTGAATATGTAACATGCAGAGCCAGGTGTTTTCCAATTCTATTTTCTTTCTTGTGTGTTTGAATTTTCCTGTAATCAATAATTACCTAATTCTTTTTCCATTGCTTTCTTCTCACAACTGAATTTTCCCAAAGTCAGTTCTGTTTTTTCCCTCAAGATCTTCCACCTTGGAGCCTTATGCCCTCGTGTGGTTGGTTATAAGGACAGGTTGCTCTCTAGCAGCTTTGGATACCATGTTGTCTGGAGACCTCCCTTCATCATCTCAAGAATTCACATCTCCTCTCTCCTATGTTAAGTATCTTGTTTCCTGTGTTGCGTCCTTTGTTTTGGGTTTACATTGTAATTTTGGAAGAGCACAGCATCCAATGTGAGGTAAAATTGTTGATACTTTGCACATCTGAAATTTTATCCGCGTATTTGATTGATAATTTGGCTGTTATCTTTTTAAGGTTGGAAACTAGCTTTTAGCTTCAATGTTACTGTTGAGAAACCAAGTCCCAGTTTATTTACAGTCCTTTGATTGTGACTTTTTTCCCTCAGGAAGATGTTTTTTATTATTTTTTTAGCTTGGTTACTTTTATTTATTTATTGACTTACATTTTTGTTTTAGCTTATAGTATTATTTTATTCACTTAGCATGAGATTTACCCTCCTAACAGATTTTTAAGCATACAAGACAATATTGTTGGCTTATAAGGTAGGAAGACTTTAGTATCTCCTCTTTATCTCTAGGGTTCTGAAATTTTAGAATAATATAACTTGGTGTGTGTGTGTTTTTTCCCACATTGTGCTGGGAACTCACTGGCCTCTTTGAGCATGGAGGCTCATGTCTTTCAGTTCTGGGAAATTTTCTTTCTTTTTTTTTTTTCAAGATTTTATTTTTCCTTTTTCTCCCCAAAGTCCCCCAATACATAGTTGTATATATTTTTTTTAGTTGTTGGTCCTTCTAGTTGTGGCATGTGGGATGCCACCTCGGCATGGCCCAATGAACAGTGCCAGATCCGCACCCAGGATCCGAACCCTGGGCCGCCAAAGCAGAGCACGCCAACTTAACCACTTGGGCACGGGGCTGGCCCCTGGGAAATTTTCTAATATAGTTTCTTTGATAATTTCCCCCCTCCGTTTTGTTATTTTCTGAGAAATATCTGTATTGATCCTCTAATATTCTTATCTTTTCTGTCTAGTTAACTATTTTTTTTCCTATTTCTTGTCATTTCTTCAACTCATCCTGCAACTTTCCTATTGAATATTTTATTTCTGCAGTTGTATTTTCAATTTCCAAAACTTTCTTATTCTCTGATTGTCCCCACCTCTTCTTACTCATTCACAGGTCTAATAATATCTTCACCTAACTTGGAAGAAATCAATTTGATTTTCAGCTCCTTTCATGGTTAATGTTTTCTTCAAGTTTTGTTTTAGTCTCTCTCGTTTATGTTAGAGGCTTTTCTCGAAAGTCTGATGACCTCTGAGTATTCATTTATATTCTAGAGCAAATGAAGCACAATGATACTGCCTAAAAACTGTACACGAGTAGGCGGGGCCTGTAGACTAGTGAGCTTCCCTGCATGCTTGACTGGTCTTCCAGCTCTTTATTGGCAGATGCCCACATATCAGCATTTACAGGCCTTTTCTCTTAGGCCATTCTGTTTCTCCAGCAAACTCTCTTCCAGTCTTCTATTAGGAGGTATGAGTCTGGCAGCTGGCGTTCTGGGAGCTGAACGGAGGAAAGAGGGAATTTTCATTCTGATTTTAGTCCCAAGCCTCCCCTCTACCCTTGCTATGTCTGGTATCCAAAATCTTGAACCTCTGTGGTTCAGTTTCTCCAAATAATAAATATCCCATCTCCTCTAAATGTAGGAGTAAGAGCTGGAGAGATCTAACTGCTCTTATGTAAATTTTCAACCTACCTCCCCATTTTCCGCCCTGTCCTCCACCCACACCGTGTGCCTCTGAGTCCTGGACTTTGCCTGCTCTGTTGCCTGCCTTCCATCCAGGCACCTCTGTGCCTGATGTCACCACCCTCTCCACTGCTGAGTCAGTTATTGCTCCTCCATTCATTTTCTGTCTCCATTTTGTGACTCACATTATAGATATCTGCTAGTTTCTTTGAAGATGAAGTTTGTGTTTTTACTTCTCATTTTTCCTTGCTTTGGGCTGACTTCTGAGAAGGATGGAGCAAAAAGATTTTCACTCAGCCATGTCAAACCAGATAATTACTTCTTTTATAATCAGAAAAAAACCCTGAAAGCTGTTTTCATTTTGAGGGGAAATCAGGTTACACCAGTCATTAAGGAATTTAGTAATGGAAAGCAGCATTTATAACTAAAGGAAGCATTAGAATCACTAAGAGATTTTATGGAGAAGTTTGTTGTTTTTGAAGGCAGGGAGAAACTGAAGCAGGCGCTGGTAAAAGTGGGAATGTCAAGAACAGAGGTAGAGAGCTTAGCTCTGATATTGAAGGAAGAAATGTCACAAGTTAGAGGCAGCAAGGAGACAAGATGAGGGAACTCTCATCCAGTAAACAAAAGTTGGTCATATGGCAAATAAACTGCTATTTTGATATGTATAATTTTTAAATGGTTGGTTTGTCTTAACTTCTTTTTTTTTTTAAAGATTTTATTTTTCCTTTTTCTTCCCAAAGTCCCCTGGTACATAGTTGTGTATTTTTAGTTGTGGGTCCTTCTGGCTGTGCTCTGTGGGACACCGCCTCAGCATGGCTTGATGAGCAGTGCCCTGTCTGCGCCCAAGATTTGAACTGGCAAAACCCTGGGCCGCTGAAGCAGAGTACACAAACTTAACCACTTGGCTACGGGGCGGCCCCTGATATTTTTTTAATAAATAAAAGCACCAGGCATTTCAAACCTTAGATGATATATTTTTTCACATTATCATGCTGAATAAAAAAGTTGAAATTATGTAGTATAACAAAAAAATGTCTACTTGGGGCTCTTTTTTTTTTGGAAGAAGATTAGCCCTGAGCTCACATCTGTGCCCATCTTCCTCTACTTTATATGTGAGACACCTGCCACACCATGGCTTGACAAGTGGTGTGTGGGTCCACACCCGGGATCTGAACCGGTGAACCCTGGGCTGCTGAAGCGGAACGTTGCGAACTTAACCACCGCACCACTGGCGTGGCCCCTCATTATTTTTTTTATCTTGAACAATATATTAAAGTGTAAGTTCTTAGTAACAAGTAAGTGTGTCTTCTAATGAACGACTCTTCATTTTCTTCAGCCTACTTTGTTGTTTCTGTTTGTTTATTTTTGTTCAGGGGAATTTAGTCAGTGAACAACCAAATCATACTGTTGAGTATAATTTTGGTGTACTAAGTGATGATATTTCTTTCAAAATTATATTGAAAATATTTTTCCCTATGGATTTTAATGATTATATATACCAGTTAGCTCACTAAATCAAAATCATAAGTATAATCACCAGATGCTATTCAATGTTCAGAAATGGAGTACCTTACATGGCAAGTCTGTATCATTAGTTCACACTTTTAAGCACTTCCCAATCATATTTGCCACTGCAGATGCTTGTTTCAAATCTTACTGCTTGAAAATTGATTCAAGTAGCTCTAAACATTTACTTGACTGGTGGGATTGTTAATGCTTCTCTGACATAATCAGAAACTTAATTATAATCAGAATGTTGAATGCAACTGATTTTCTCAGTCACAAAATTCAACTTTCATTTGCAAAAATATTTGAGATTATAGAACCCTTCCCCCCAGTTCTGGGCTTAAATCTTATTCTGCCTAAGAATAAAGTAAATTCTGTCTACAACCAATCATTACTATTAGTCGTAATAAAACTCCATATTTTACATTGTAAAATAGTTTAGCCAATTTCATAGGAAAGGCATTGCCCGATAGAAATTTATCTGCTTGTTTTTCAAAATTATCAAGGAGAATACAAGGAAGAGTGTGTGTGTGTGTGTGTGTGTGTGTGTGTATGAAATACCAAATTGTTATGCAATTCCATATTTTCTAAAAATTGCCTAGACTGATAGTGAAGTTGACCAGTTATTGAAATAAGTTGACAAAACTGCATTGGGAATGCTTGCATGGCATTCCTACTGTTCAGTGGTGATTATTTATTTAATAAATTCTTTAACAACTTTTATAACTTAAAACTGTTCCTATTTTCAAACAATAGGAGAGAAAACTGGGGGAGGGAAGTGAAGAAACTATATAAGGTAGTGGTCCTCAACCACCAGCTCATGGAGTTCTCACTGTCTCTTACAAAGAATTCACTGGCCTGCTGTGAAATAAAAATAAAGGGAGGAGAGATGGGCATAAGATGTACCCCAAGAGTACAAATTATTCAGATTTTGAGCATATATTTTGGCTGAGAGAGGAGACTTGGCTTTTTCTGATCCACAATGAAAAAAAATTAGCTGTGGGAAAGGAACTCAGATTCTTGATTCCATGCCATTATGAAATTATTAGTATATGGTAAAGCAATTTCTTTAAGTGGGAACAGAATATGTTTAACTGCCTCCCAACATATCCAGTACTCTGTCTTTTTCATGTACTAACTATGCTTTTTCATCTTATGTCTAATTGGGGCTTAATATATAAATTATACAATGTGAAAGACAAATGATTAATGATTTTTTTTTCCTTAGATACGTCCAGAAAGTGCCCAGAAGAAACTTCCTGCCAGAAAAACTGAAAAAACAATATTCATAATACTGGAATTTGTGGATAATTTGTTAAAATGGCGGAAAATAGTGAAAATAATAGTAAAAATGTAGATGTAAGGCCCAAAACTAGTCGGAGTAGAAGTGCTGACAGAAAGGACGGTTATGTGTGGAGTGGAAAGAAGTTATCTTGGTCAAAAAAGAGTGAAAGCTGTTCAGATGCTGAAACAGTGAATTCTATAGAGAAAACTGAAGTTCCTTTAAGGAGCCAAGAAAGAAAGCACAGCTGCTCATCTATCGAGTTGGATTTAGATCATTCCTGTGGGCATAGATTTTTAGGTCGATCTCTTAAACAGAAACTGCAAGATGCTATGGGGCAGTGTTTTCCAATAAAGAATTGTAGTAGTCGGCATCCTTCAGGGCTTTCATCTAAAAGAAAAATTCATATCAGTGAACTCATGTTAGATAAGTGTCCTTTCCCACCTCGATCCGATTTAGCCTTTAGGTGGCATTTTATTAAACGACACACTGCTCCTATAAATCCCAAATCAGATGAATGGGTAAGCACAGACTTGTCTCAGAGTGAATTAAGGGATGGTCAGCTAAAACAAAGAAGAACCGTGGAAGAAGAGGTGAACTGTTTCCCGCATACCATTGTTCAGCCCTGTGTCATAACCACCAACAATGCTTCATGTCGAGGTGGTCCTATGACTGGCTCTGTGATGAACCTGGTTTCAAATAACAGTATAGAAGATAGTGATATGGATTCAGATGATGAAATTATAACACTTTGCACAAGTTCCAGGAAAAGAAACAAACCCAAATGGGAAACAGATGAAGAAATCCTGCAGTTGGAAACACCACCTAAGTATCACACCCAGATTGATTACGTTCACTGTCTTGTACCAGACCTCCTTCAGATCAATAACAATCCGTGTTACTGGGGAGTTATGGATAAATATGCAGCTGAAGCTCTACTAGAAGGAAAACCAGAGGGGACCTTTTTACTTCGAGACTCAGCACAGGAAGACTATTTATTCTCTGTTAGTTTTAGGCGTTATAGTCGTTCTCTTCATGCTAGAATTGAACAGTGGAATCACAACTTTAGCTTTGATGCACATGATCCGTGTGTCTTCCATTCTCCTGACATTACTGGGCTCCTAGAACACTATAAGGACCCAAGTGCCTGTATGTTCTTTGAACCACTTTTATCCACTCCTTTAATTCGGACTTTCCCGTTTTCCCTGCAGCACATATGCAGAACAGTCATTTGTAACTGTACAACTTATGACGGCATTGATGCCCTTCCAGTTCCTTCTGCTATGAAATTATATCTGAAGGAATATCACTATAAATCAAAAGTTAGAGTACTCAGGATTGATGCACCAGAACAACAGTGCTAAGAAAAGGGTAGGAACACGGGAATGATTATATACGTGTTTTTATTTAATATTTTTCTTATTATGCGGCTTTGAATTTTTCTACAAGGGCAGTTAGAGTCCAAAATAAACCTCTGCCCTAAATTTTACTTCCAAATCAGTTTTATTTTTCTTATGATACACTGATTGTTTAAGGTTACAGACCAGGGGTTAATGGATATTTTTAACCAGGTGTTTGGTTTTTGTTTTTACCATGTAGATTGTATACTTAATTTTTTTCTTTTCTTCATTGTAATTTGCATATGATCCATGGATATTTGACATTTGGTAGGCATTGCAAATAGTTAACTAATCTGTATTTCAGACTTTTCTTCCAAAATAATCTTATGTCCTTTCCTACCATGTAAAATGCTTTAACCTATGCCATTGATATTCCTATACAGAAAATATAATTTCCCCAACCCCTTTTCAGGCTTGTTTTAAAATTTTTTGGTAAAGCTGAGTGTGTTGTAGTTCACAATCCATACTAATGTAATTGACTTTTGTAATTTACTAATAGGGATGTTAAAGGTAACAAAATTGATTAAAATCAAACTAGATGTATTTTCATTTTAAATATTAACTATAAGCAGAATTACAGGATTACTAAATTCGATTAATCTGGTCAGTAAGAATCAAATGAGACCATGACATTTTGGAGGTGAATTTATTCTACAGTGTGGCATGGTCATTTGTTATTCCTGGAATAGATCGTTCTCTCAATGTGGAAGAGTTACCCTCTTCAGAACATAAATATTGTTCTTTTCTCATTGGAAGTTTTAAAAATAATGATAACACTATTAATAACTAATAGTTACTAAAGTACTAAAGCAACTGTGGGGTTTTTCTGTATTTATTTATGAACTGTTGTTTCTACTTAGCTTTTTTATAGAAAATCTGAGCCTGTTACTTTGGGGAGATGCCACAGTTTATACAGCCACAAATTTCCATTGGTAACTAAAGTGTACCTAAGTAGTTTTTAGTTATTTTAAATTGAGCTTGAATAAAGATTCAAGAAGTAAACATGGAACTCAGTATTCAAGAAGCTTAATAGTGTTTTTAATTTTCAGGTTTCAAATAATTATTTCTGTCTTCAGAATTAACATGTCTTCATTGTGGCTTCAAAAAAAGAAGACATTTTGAGAGCTCATGGCTTATGCCATACTGAACAATACTGGGCACCAGGTGTAATCTTTCAAATTTACTATCCCAAGAGCAGGGAAACATTTCTAGAAACATCAATATCCCAATATAATAAAGATAAATGGAGTGATATCCTATCCTACTCCTCTTTTTTTAAAGAATCAATGAATAATAAATTTCCTAGACAGTTGTTTCTTCTGGCAAACTATATACCCCTTGTGGAAACTGGCATTTTAAATATCATAGTAATTGATTTCTTGATGGTAGTTTAGCTCTAGTACGAAGCTGCTTCTACCTGGATTGTAAGAAATTTGACTCAGATTTCCACGTTAGAACAGATGTTTCTTAAGTATCATTGCTTTTGTGTGGAAGTAGCATTTCCCTTTCCGAAATTCTGCTGTTAACATAAAGATGGCATTTTTTTCTCAGTGATCTCAAGATTGTCTTGGTCCCAGTGAGGGATAGCTAGTAAAGTGGCACCTCTCTTAGCAGTGATGAGGCTCAGGATATCGTAACACCAATGTCAGGATAAATATCTCTTCTAAAGATGATATTTCCCTTTACAAAAGTAGGAAAGTCTCATACTACCTCATCTTTCTTGTGGCGCTTTTGTAGATCACTGAGAAGCTTATCTTATTTACCAATATAACAATTCCTAAATATCCATCTTTGGTGAAAGAAAATTAATAGTATAGTAAGACTCTACCCATGATTATAGTTTTTTATCAGAATTTGATAAGACTTTCTGTTTCTGTGAAACAATTATTATTTTAAATATCTTTCCTTTAAAAATAACTTTTTATCTACAGAAAAACCTAAGGGGTGACTAGCTAACAAATATTCTGTTAAAGGGTAATTTTATAAAGAAAAATGAAATATAGTTATGTTGTCTTTTATAATGATAAAAATTAGTGTTTATATGAAAATCAAGATCTAAGTAGCTTTTCATATATTCAAACTGGTTGCTTGTGATATATTTTCTCTGGCTTTCTTATTTTTTCAACTTCAAGGTATTAATAGCTATTACCATTTTCAAAGTACTGCCATAAATATAGCCTTTAAGTGATGATCTGATAAATGAGAGCAGGGAAGAGACTCGTTTACTCTGAAATGGTTTGTATTTTTCCTTTGGTATTTGCTACAGTGAAAAGAAATCTGCAAAGTGGATATATAAAGACTTGAGAAGGGAACTGTTCATGATGAAGGAAAAAGAAAAGTGATAATTTTTTAAAGCACTAAGGGGTTGGAATTTAGGAAAGTTAACCCCTTTCTCAGTGACTTTATGAGGACTCATTTAGAAGAGCATGCAAAGAGCATCCATTTAGAAACTAATTCATTTAAAAAATGTAATTATTGGAATCTATAAGTAAAATGAGTAAGTTTTGAGAGGAACAATGTGGAAAGCTACAAGTATATCTAAATATAAATTTTGTGACTCTAAGACGCTGTGAGCATGTGAAAAGTGTAAATTCCAGAGTTGAGAAAGCATTCAGCATGGTGGAAATGTTCAGAGCTTATTGGTAAGAGAGGCTGGGGCTAAAATAAACAAGATAAAATATTAAAATTAAGAATTTAGGCATTACCTCAGGGAAAAGCCTTGACAGTGAAAGGGACCTATTTAATCGCTAAAAGCTAGTCTGGACCACACACTTAACTGCACTTTGGGAATCCTGCACTAATCAGAACTATGCTTGACTTTTCTATTTCTCTCTGAAGCTTTTCAGGACATACCCCTCCCCACCCCTTTTTTTAAGCTACAGCATCTTGATTTATAATATAATTCCTGAAATATGCTGAATGGATTGTTTTAGGTTCCATGAGCATTTTTGTATGAAGAATTGTATGTGATCTTTCTATAACCATGCCATTCACTTAAATAATTCATAGAGGGAATGGTTTAATTTAAAGGAAGACCTAATAGGAAGAAGATTAAAGGAAGCTTTTAGCCTGTGGCTAGATTTATTGATTTGGTGATCAGACCTGTGTTCTTTCCTGAATTTCAGCTAATGGCAAACTGTGGTCGAAAAATGGCTTTCAGTTAAAAGTTTGACTTATTATAAATAATATAAAGAATCTCTTAGTAATTAGAAATCCTTTAAAAAGTAGAGCAAATGTGGCAAATAGGACTCATATCATTATACAAATTCCATTTCTTGTTATAAGAAAAACACAAACCATTATCATTTATTCATGAGCCAAAGCCATTAAGAACATAAATCAAGTTATCAGCTTCCTGTCTCTCTCAAGTTTGGATCATATTATAGATCCACGTAATAGAGAGCTTCCTTCCTGTGAAACAAAAACCTTGAGACCTGGTTCTTATAAATATACTCTTAGTTTTCATTAAAAAATTTTGTCAGTTTTAGCTATATCAGTCAAATAGGTTATATATTGATTTTGGTAGAGCAAATTTCACAGGAAAGCAGACTTATAAGACATTCCTGGAGACAACACAAGGAAAACAGTGTTTAAATGTATAATAGCCCGTGGGTTAGATAATTTAATACTCAAATGAATAAAAGATTCTAAGTCAAGCAGATTATTCTTCCTACTTTGGGAAAAAAGTCTTTGCAATTTTGGTTTTAACAATCAGTTTCATCATTTCTAAAGATTGAACACAAAGCACAAAGGGTTTTTCTTTTTTAATGGCCTGCCAGAAATGAGCAACACTACAAGAGTCTCTATATATTCTAATACATTAAGATATTGGACACAAGATGGAGGTAACTTTTTGAAACAGATTGGCTTCTAAGTTGAAATGTAAACTAATGGATATAACCCAATGGAAAGGGATTTAGGGCACGAGTCCTATTTCAGATAAAGCCCGAGTCTATTTTTTATTTGCTTTTTTAATTTTGAATAATCCTAAATCTTTGCCTTCATATCCTAGCATATAAAATGTAAGTAATAGTACTTGTCACTTGACTTCCTGAAGGATAATTCTTCAGTTAAGAGGTGAGCCCTTGAAGCGTACTTGAAAATAATTTCTATACAGCCATTAAGTACTAATGTGATGATAGGTTTTCAAAGCATCCCCTTCGTGGACCCTGCAGATTCACATTCACTTTGGCTTGACTTGACAATAGAGATAACAGTACAATTTGAATTTATGGTTTAGACTCTGCAATTAAATGAAGAGTTGCAGTTTCCTCCTACCCTTAATAAGGTTTATGTAATAGTGATGTTTGCCTAAGTTATCCTCAAAGTTAATTACACTTGCAGGAAGTAAAGAGAATCGCTTTTGCAGTGGTTATAATCAAATCTAAGCTTTCAGATTTGAGAGAGTGTAAAATTCAAAGAGGTTTACTTTAATTATGGTGACTTTTCTAGAACTGGATAAATTCTGTATAAAGCAAGTCTGAACTTGATATATACTTGGATATACAGAGTATACGTAGTGACTGCACAAAGCTATTAGAACTCTTGACAGTCAGGTTTGTATGATCCACTTCTCACCCAAAAAGAAGGGAGGCTCTTTCCATTTCTAGTTGTAATCCTGAAGTTGAATGTTTCTTCTTGGATGTGAGTTCAAATAAATTGAATAAATTTTCATTTCTTCTTAATTAAAACTTCATATATAAAATCCAAAGGCTTTGTATTTTGTTTTAAAAACGTATACCCTAGGGCCGGCCGGGTGGCCAAGTGGTTAAGTTCATGTGCTCCGCTTGGGTGGCCAAGGGTTCCACCGGTTCCGATCTTGGGCGTGGACATGGCACCACCACTCAAGCCACGCTGAGGTGGCATCCCACATGCCACAACTAGAAGGACCCACAACTAAAAGTACACAACTATGTACGCGGGGGGCTTTGGGGATAAAAAGGAAGAATAAAATCTCTAAAAAAAAAAAAAAAGTATATCCTTACCTCACACGTTCAATGTAGAATCTAAGAAAAACTTTAAAATCTATATTCTTCCACATTTTCTCATGTATAATACACTCCTTTCAGTTTTTTGTGTGTCAGTTTGGGTCTTCCAGAAACATGCCAAAATGCAATTAAATGTGCAAGGGATTTATTGGTGGGGGGAGGTAGGAGGGGCGCCTATGAAGGATAAAGGGGAAGGGAGCAGGAGAAGGTGGGGAGTCTTCATACCACGTTGCACGTCTGACATCTGTGAAAGAAAGGGAAGGATTGGGTAGGGTGGGCTTTAGACTGCAAGGCAGTTCTGGGAAAGCTAGATGGGGATTTAGTTTCCAAGCAAAGATTGCCTGTGGGAGCCCACGTGGGACAGGAATGGCCCAGCTCTAGAACCCCCACCATGCTCAGTTATTGGCTGGGAGCTTGGGCAAAGCTGGAGGCTGTCAGTCACCTGACCAGGACTAGGGTGAAGTGAGTGAGGCACTCAACCTGGGGACACAGTTTTTTTGACCAAAAAGCTCAGTAATGAAAATATTTTGGTGCAACATTTAAGCATAAGAAAATGCAAATTAAAAACCCCTATAATGAGCAAAATATCAAAATTTTTAATTATGGTTAGCGCCGTTTTACTGGTCTTTCCTGTTGCTGCAGGCTTCCTGTGGCTCCCCAAGGCACCGGCTGATTCACTGCCTCATGAGGGCAGAGGAGGTCGTTCACACTTTTGGCATTTTCCATGGACTGTTGTCTCTATGCAAAAATATGTCTTCCCCAGGCTTAGGTATTTGAAGTTCTTCTGTTGCTCATTTTTCGGTATGAGAATTATGTGTGCTGTGCAGCATACCCAAAAGTTAGTTTTCGTTTAGGTTTACAGTAAAATGTCCACCCACTGATCCACTAACGACTTACATACAGAAGCAAAATGTAAGAATATTGCATACTTTTAATAAATTTTTACATATAAAATATATGTAGGTATATGCATATTATCTTGCACACCATGGACATAATTATGACATGTTCATTACTAGCTAGCAGGTTCCTTGACGGCTTGGCCGTATGACAATCATCTTTTGGGCCTGACAAAGTAAGCACTTAAAGGTTTGTTCAAAAGTGAAACATGGGGAGAAGAGGCCCGGATGAGGACAAGTCTGCAAAGACCGCTGTTCCTTTAGTTAATATCAGTTTGTCAAGCCATTTGCAACGTCTTCCCTTTCCCGTATTGTTTAGTTCTCCCCAGCTGCGGCCCGAGGGTCCGTGTCCCCGAGTTGGGCCGCATCCACAGCCAGCCAGCTTCGAGGCCTGGCTGTGAAAACCGCTCAACGTAGGGAAGCCAGAACCAGCCCGCGAGCCGTTCCCCTAGGCCGCCTAGAGCGGCCCCGCCCACCACTCCGGCGAGCGCGCGAGCTCCGCCCCCCGCGGGCGCACACGCCCCCAGCGCCGAGCGCGCCGAGCAGCCGCAGTGCCGCCGGGGGCCTGCTGGGGCGCGCGCGGGCGCGGGCGGCGCTCGGCGCTTCCTGTTCCGGCGCCAGGAGGGGCCGCGCTGCTGGTGCTGCCGCCGCCGCTGCCGCCGCTCGGGCTGCGCTCGGTTCCATCGCCGCCTCGAGGCCTTGCTGCGGGTTCGGATCTCGCCCGGTAAGGCTCCTCGGCGCTGGCAGGGGTCGAGCGGGGGGCGAGGGAGCGCGCCCGAGTGGGACGCGGGCGCGGTAACGGAGGTCCTCGAGCCGCCTTTTCGGGGCCGGGCCGAGCGCTTCGCCCCGGCGTGGTCCTGCCCCCGCGCGCGGGCCCCCGCGGCCCCCAGGGAGGTGGCGGCGGAGGCGGCGACGTCGCGCCTGGCGGCTGTCTGCGCTGGACGGCAGGCCTGGCTGGGGCGCGGCGCGACGGTAGCGGCCCCTCCCCTCCTCTCCCGCCCCGCAGGCCGGCGCGCTCCGGCCGAGCCCGGACCCCTTTGTCGGCCCGGCCCGCGAGGGCGCTGGCCTGGCGCGCCGCGGCCCCGGTCCTTCGCCCGTTCCTTAGTGTCTGGCGGAAGGGCAGACGGAGGCCTGAGCAGATCCTTGGGGGGCCTTCGACGCCTGTCCGAGGCCTCCGGCCCGTCCCGCCGCTCGGGGCTTTCTCCCTGGAGGAGCGGCCGGCGCGCGCGGGCGCCCTGGGCGGAGCCGGGCCTGCGGCGCCAGGCCGTGCTCTCGGACCGTGGCGTCTTTACAGCGTGGCTCCTAAAGCAGTCCGCCCGCGCGCTGGAGGTGGCACGGCCTGCCCTGACCGCGCGCCGCCTGGGGAGCGGCGGGGCCTTCCGAGCCCCCGCGCGGCTCGGTTCGGCCGTGGGGCGCACAGGAAGAGACGCTGGCTTCGGGCGGCCCCACGCCTCCTCTGCAAGGCGCTGTGTCGCGGACTGGGCTTAGGTACGCGGGGACGTCCCTGTCCTCGCCGGGGAGGGCCGAGACCCACCCTCACCGAAAGCCTTGAGGCCGGGGTGTGCGGGAATGCGGGACCCTTTGGGTTTGGGAGAGGGGACGCCCCTCGTCCCGGCTGGCGTGCGCGGCGCCACACGCCGCCTCAGGTCGGGTTTGCCCCGAGTAAGTTCTGCCAACCCTGGGAACGTCTCTTTCCTGTTCACAGGTTTCGGCGTTGAGCACTGCACACAAAGGTCTGTGGCCGTGTGCTGGCGGCCGTCCCCGCTCGCACGTGCTGGGCTTGGCCGTGTGCCGGACAGGGGCCGGGAGGCTGGGTGCCGGGGGTGGCGGCGCCCCGTCCGCTCCCCGCCGCGGGCTGGCGGGCGCTGTGGTCCCCGCGCGCTGCGCCGGCGGACGCCGGGCCCCGAGTGTGTCCCGCCCACCCGATGTTTTCCGAGCGCTAGTATTCTAGGCGCTTGATTGACGGGCCCCGTTTAGCCTCTCAAGTTACTGGCCTTTTCTTCATAGTTGGAGAAATTGATGTTCCTTCGGGCGAGCAGCCTCTGAGCCGCGCACACTTGGTCCGGGGGCGCTCTGCTGAGACTGCGTGTGCCCCGGTCCTTGTCCCAGCGGGCCTCGGAACTGCTGCCGCTCCCCGCCTCCCTCTCGCTTTTGTGCAAACTGCTGTTTCTCTGGGACCTGCCCAACCATCCCCTGCGCTCTCCTCGTTGTTCTTCCACGCTGCAAAGGCACCACGTCTCAGGGTTCTTCCCCTGAGCCCCCTTTGACTCCTGGAGGAGCTGTTGGGGGCTGCTTGCCCCAAGTAATGTAGTTACTGTTTAAATGGTAGTTCTCTACCAGGCTGTGAACTCCTGAAGCGTTTATTCTGTGCAATACCACTCATTTCCCCAAAACCCAACACAGTGCCTGGCACATAGGTTCCAATAAGTATCTGAATAAATGTAGAAAATTGGCTGACAGGAGGTTGTTGAAAAACGACTTTTTTAATTATATGTTTTAAAGAAATTTAAAATGTTCAAAAACTTTCAAATCTCGAATTTCTTGAGTTGCTCAAATTGCAAATATAATGTGACTGATAAAAGAGCCAATACTGAAAACTATCATATATTCTAACTCAAAGTTTGTATTTTCATTACAATATATTATCATCATCCTCCCTTTGTATGTGCTAAGCAGAACTGTGCAAAACTGATTTCCCTTAGTTTCTCTTAATAAACACTTTACATGCCTATAGCACTCTATAGATTATTAAATGTGTTGCTTTTAATTAATTATCTGTGAAGTAGTCAGGAATTATTATAACTGTTTTGCAGATGAAAGAATAGGCTCTGGTTAAGAAGCTTGCCTTTGTCAAAAGACTCAGCCAAAAGGATTGATGTCTGGGTTTCATAACCAGGTGATCCCATACTGTGCCATCACAATTTGATGGCCGTCTGAAATATTTCTCATCCAATAGTCACTAGTAATGTATGAAGTTTATCTTTCTTAAACCTCCCTGTGATTGAATTACCATTTTTACTCTAAAGGCCATAGGAATTACAAAAATGTCATTTTATTTTTCTAGAATATGTCAAAAGAAATTTTGTACTCTGTTTTAGAATTACTATTCTTGCTGCTCAGGAAAACAGTGATTATTTTTCACTTGATGTGTAGATCCTGCAGTAAAGTGATTACAGGAAGTTTTAGAAGCAGTATTTTTGCTGAGGAAGATTGGCCCTGAGCTAACATCTGTGTCATTCTTCCTCTATTTTGTATGTGGGATGCTGCCACAGCGTGGCTTGATGAGTGGTATGTATGTCCAGGCCCGGGATCTGAACTTGTGAACCCCATGCTGCTGAAGTGGAACACACGAACTTAACCGCTATGCCACTGGGCTGGCTCCCCAAAAACCTTTCTTGATTATAAACCTTTGTGTGTGTATGTGTGGCCAGTTCAAGGTTACATTGACCTTATCTTAATAATTAGCATACTTCAGATGTTTCAGAATAGCTTTTTAGAAAATCTAGATATTTTTATATTCTGTAGCTTTTATCATATTGAAACGCTAATGTCCAAATCTATTGTTTACCTTTTTATGATGAAAGTATCCCCCAAAAGTAAATTGGAATGTTTTCAGTGAACATGAACGCTGTTTATTCTGGGCGTCGAGATTAGGTCGCTCTGCTATGTGGTGCTGTAGAACAGGAAGTGACCTATTTCTGTCCCTTTGGTAAGGGCTTCATTATTTTAATCATAGTATTCTAGTACCTTCTCTGTTTTCTAGAGTTTGATTTGGAAAGCCAGAATGGTGGATCAGTTTAATATTGTTAACTTGTGGACTAATT